TTTCCGAGGCAGTATCACTACGGAAGTAGGATTGCCCAACCTTCACAACAACAATCTGTAGTGATACTGCCTCGGAAACCCAAGGAGGGGTCACTATGAGTCGGGTCCGACTCGCCGGCACGTAACAACAACAATGGCTAATGATCATGAACATTTCTTCATGTGTTTGTTAGCCGCCTGGATATTCTCTTTGGTGCAGTGTCTATTCATGACCTTCTGCCCATTTTTTAACTGAATTATTTGTCTTTTTGTTGTTGAGGTGTTATAGGTTTCTATAAATTTTAGAGGTAAGTCTCTTGTCAGATATGTTGTTGCCAAATATTTTTTCCCAATCTGTAGGTTCTCATTTTAATCTTTTGGAGAAGTCTTTGGAAGCACATAAAAAATTAATTTTTAGAAGTTCCCATTCATCTAGTTTATCTTTTGCTGTTTGCACATTTTGAGTTATGCTTGATATTCTATTTACACCATATATTAGGGAGTGGCTGGTGGATTTGAACTGCCAACCTTCTGGTTAGCAATTAAGTGCCTTAGATACTGTGCCACATAGTAAACTATTTAGTCATACTGCCACTTCAAAAGGAAGGCTTATCAAATGAAGAAATAGAATCACTGAGTTGTTAAGGAACTTTCAATATCATACAGCCAAAGAGCCAATATGCGAACCCAGGCATTCTTGTTCATGGACTCCTTGGTTTTAACCATTAGGCTATATGTCTTGTAGAGTGATGTCTAGAGTTGGTCACATCCTCCTACTTCTTCTAGGTGGAGAAGGAGGAGACTGCAGAATAACAAATATGCTACCTAAGAATTGAGTGGAGTCCTTGTGAGAATTTTCCTTTCATTTCAGAGCCCTTCTTAGAGTAATTAAAGAGGCTGCCATCAGCAGCATTGCTCCAGTATTGGGAAAGGGGCCAGTGCCATTCTGGCACTGTAACAATGTGACTATTTCACAGGATGAAGAGGGGGTGCTAGACTTTCCAGACCTTGGGAATTACTGTTGAGCTCGGGAAGTTTGTGAGTCTTTAACACTTCTCCCTGTTAATAAAGCAAACAAACTTGAATCTTGGAGGAGACCTAATCCAATCAGTCCTGGACCCCTACACCTCCAGGTCTCTGACATCAGTATTCCTCCTATGAGGCCCTGGAGTCTACTCTGACTTGGAAAAGAGCCTTTACCTAAGGGTGTGAAGTTTCTGGAGAATCAAGAAGCAAGTGCACAGGTGGGCAAGAGGCAAATCTCTGGGGACCAGGGAGCAAGGGGAGGCACTGGGGCACCTCCACAGGGTACCCCTCTCAGACATTCTCTTGTCGTCTGAGAAAGGCCTGTTAGTAGGCACAGTTCTTCACCCAGTAATGTGAGCTGACAAGGGGCTCTTGGGAGCTGTTGCAAGATCCCAGCAATGTAGGCTGACAAGGGGCTCTTGGGAGCTGTTGGAAGATCTTTGTGGGTCCTGAAATCTTAACTGGAGGCCTCCACTCCAAACCCAGCAAACATTAATGTACTCCCACATCATATATTAAATAGCATTTAATGTATCACTCCTTAAGAATTGAGTGTCAGTTGACTAGTTAACAATGCATCATGTTTGTAGACATTTAATTCAATGTTTAACATTTTTTTAAGTGTTTTTTTTTTCTTTTTTTGACTCTTCATATTTAAAATTTTTACACCTATGGTTATTTGCTGTCTTAGGTAATTTCACAGCTTCAAGCACAGTGTCCAGAATGACTGTGCCCTGGCAGGCCTATTTCAGTGCCCACCCCCACCCAGTCCTCCTCTGCTCTCTGGTGAAAGATTGCATTCCATCAAGGAGACAACAGCAGGGAGTTCCAGGCCAAGATTGGCCATAATGTCCTGTGGAGAAGCTTGAAAGACAAAGGATGGCCCTGTCAGGTCAGATGAGCCAGAGGAGCAGGAAACTGAAGGGAAGCTCAAGCCAAGAGCTTCTATTCTCCCCTCCAGGCTGCAGGGAGCTGACCAGGCACCCAGTTGGTGGCCTGTGGTGGGCACAGAGGAAGCCTCCTTCAGCTCTCTCCTTACCTGGCTCAGGGAGAAGGCCTCTGGGCTGTGCTTGTAGAAGGTATCTTTGAATGACCCCAGCCAGGTCTCAGCAATGCGAACCTTGCTCCGCAGGGTGGCCTCCTGGTCAAGGAAGGCATGAGCATCTTGATTTCCATAGACCTGCCCTACTCGAGAGCAGGGAAGGATCTCAATGGAGCCACCACAGAGCCAAGCCTGCCATGAAAGAAGAAAATTGTCTCCACTTTCAAAAACAGTGGGAAGTAAGGGATCTGTCTGTGAGATGCTGGCAAATGACAGGAAATGATAAGCACAAAATTAAAGAGTGTTAGTCCTCAGGGTAAAATAGGCTGTCCAGATCTGGAAGTTCTAAAGAGGGGAGTGACAAGATGACAAGAACAGGGGGTGGTTGCCCAGGCAAGGACCTGTGGGGTGGGGGTGGGGCTACACATAGGCACCTACCTGAACATGTCTCCCTTGAAACATGTGCAAGATCTCAGTGCATACGGAGATGTAGCCATGTGGATTAGCACCCCATGCCCCAGAGCACGCTTCCTTAGGGGCAGAGATGTCCTTTGTGGTCAGGGAATTCCTAAAAGCTTGTGAAGTCTCTTGCTGCACAGGCACCAAAAGCCATTCGTGGTGGAGATGAAAGCAGGCTTGGCTTAAACCTGGGCTTCACTACTTTAGGAAAGTTCTCTCTGCTTTCCACTAATTCTCTCACCTACTCCCAAATGCCTGACAGTCATTTGATAGTACTCCTTTCATTCTATACTTGAGGATTAAGGTCAAAATGAAAACGTTTCTAGGATCGGCAGCATATGAACTGAAAGACACTAAGGCTGGGGTTCTCAAATTGTGTCAAGGTGCCACAGTGAACTCAAAGGGGCACCTTGGGATATTTTAAAATTTCCAGAGAAATGCCTGTGCAAACTACAAGCTCGAGTACTTCAAGTTTCCACATTAGGCCACAGCTATGTCTTTGCCAGGTTGGGTATTTGGAGGTTGCTGTGATAAAAAGCAAGCACCAACAAAAAGCATTGTGGGACAGGAAATGAGGTGGTAGGGTCCAATCTGATTCCAAGGTCTGAGGTGGTGTGGTGCCCAACAGGCACTAAGTTGTTAGGACAATTGTTTATTAGATTGTTTGGACCTAACAACTTAATACTCAGGGCTGTGAGGTGTTTATTTTGGCCTGACAGTAAGAATGTGCAGAAACCTTTGCACTAAGGTGTTGCTAGCAGCCATTGAATTGGCTCCCAAAACAATTCCTAGTCCATCTTAGTCTGGAAGCTCTGCTGAACCCTGTTCAGCATCACCACAATGTACAAGCCTCAACTGACAGATGGGGTAGCAGATGACAGATGAGGCTCAATGGCCGGGAATCAAACCCAAGTCTCCCGTGTGGAAGGTGAGGATTCTATCACAGAACCAGCAGTGCCCCTTGCACTGAGGAGTAAATGACTGGTAATACGTCCTTTCTTGTGAGCAGGTTTGGAGAGTGAATTCTGAGGAAGGGAGACTGGGAGTGATACCAAGGTAGGCCATTAGAGAGATGGGAAAGGGGAAGAAACAGGAGGTCAGAGACACCACATTATAAAGAGTTTAAAATTTGCCTACAGCCTCATCTATGACCAGTAACATTCCTAATGTTGCCTCCAAGCTTTGACTGTACCTTCTGTTTCAGAAAACCCATCTTTGTCCTCCCTCCATCCAGGGCATACCTTGAGAGACAGTTCGAGGTTTCCGCCACCCAGCAATGACATGAGAGGGTCATATGCTCCAGTATTTTGGAAGTAATGTCTGTCCATCGCCACGACCCCACCTGGCACCACAGGGCTCCTAGACACAGAAAATGGGGCAGAGGCTGCAGCTCAGAACTGGACCTATCAGGTGAGGTTGAGGGGCTTGGGGTTTACCACGTGGGTGCTCCAGTGGCTGAGAGGGGACTTTGGGCTCAGACAGACCTCAATGTCTTTACTTGCAAGACTGGAGCAAAACAACAATGAAGTATTTATTTTATTTAAGTCTGGAAATACTAGTATTTTATGAAAAAAAAAAAAAAAAAAAAAAACCAGCTATGGTTGTCTGGGCCTTTTTTACCCTGTTCTCAGGTACTTCTCCTACAGAGAGGGCCCAGGCACTGCATCTGAGGCCACCCTGCCCTCTGGCTTGAGTCTCTCTAGAGAAACATTTGTGAAAGAAGGCCACAGTTAAGATGAGTTATCTTGAGGGAGGTAGGGTCTGGCCTGGACAAAGGGAAGCAGTCAGGCTCTTTCTCCCTCTCTTCTATTCCCTTACCTCACTCTTCTCTTTTTCTTAATGAGCATCTACTCGCTTCCTGGTTCTAAGATGAATCTAGTAGGGAGTCTGGAAGTAGAGAGGTCTCCACCCAGCCCTGGGGGAAATACACATGACTTACAAACCCTGGCAGCTAGAAATCTTGAACTAGGGAAGAAAATTAAAATGACAAGAATATCCTTCAGAAGTAGTTTTTAACTGGAATTTGTAGCCAGAGGCTTTTGAACACATCACTATTCAGGACAAAACTTTAATGTAACTAAAACTCTGTTTATCTCAAGATGTAAATAATTCAGAGCATAGACTTTTTAATAAAATCAAACCAAACTCACCTCCATGGAGTCGGATCTGACTCATAGCGACCCCTTCTTGTGTTTTTGAGGCAGTATCACTATGGAAGCCGATTGTCCAACCTTCCTTCCAAGGAGTGGCTGGTGAATTTGAACCGCCAGCCTTCTGGTTAGCAGTCAAATGCCTTAGGCACTACACCACCAGAGCTCCAAGACTTTTTAATAGCAAAAAAAAAAAAAAAAGGGGGTGGGGTGGGGGTTGGGGTGTAATAATATTTTTTTAAAATTATACTGGCCTTTAAGGTGCTTAAACTAAAACCAAACTCACTGCCATCAAGTTGATTCTGACTTATAGTGACCCCCACTGGGTTTCCAAGACTATAAATCTTTATGGAAGCAGACATAGGAGCTCTGGTAGCATAGTGGCTAAGACACTTGCCTGCTAACCAGACGGCTGGCGGTTCAAACCCACCAGCCACTCCTCGGAAGGATGGTTGGGCAATCCTACTTCCGTAGTGATACTGCCTCGGAAACCCAAGGAGGGGTCGCTATGAGTCGGGGCCGACTCGACGGCACATAACATAACAACAACAGTGACCCCCACTGGGTTTCCAAGACTATAAATCTTTATGGAAGCAGACCGCCTCATCTTTCTTGCATGAAATGGCTGGTGAATTAGAACCACTGATTTTTTGGTAAGCAGCCAAATGTCTTAACCATTATACCACCAGAACTTTTTTTTCTCTTTTTTTAATTTTATTTTATTGTGAGTTGGGTGAAAGTTTACAGAGCAAATTCACTTTGCATACAGCAGTTCACACACACATTGTCTCATGACATTGACTACAATTTACCCCAATGCAATAGCTCCCCTCCCACTTCCTCCCGATAGTTACCTCTTCTCTGTGTCGATCCCTTCATGCACTCCTGTCCCCCCACCAGAGCTTTTAAGGTGCTTCCAAAATATCAAACCAAACTCACTGCCGTGGAGTCGGCTCCTTACATTATATCAAAAGTGAAAAGAAACATTATTGCAGTTATTACTAGATTCAATTTCCAACTCTTCCACTTACTATTTGTAAGATCTTGGATGAGATATATAATCTCTTTGAACTCAGTTCCCTCACCTCTAAATTGGGCATAATAATGTTAAGTCCTGTTGAGTTGGCTCCGACTCAAAGTGACCTCATGTACAACAGAACAAAACACTGCCCAGTCCTGTGCCAGCTGCACAATCCTTGCTATATCTGAGCCCATAATTGTAGCCACTGTGTCAATCCATCTCATTGAGGGCCTTCCCCTTTTTCATTGACCCTCCACTTTACCAAGCATGATATCCTTCTCCAGGTAATGGTCCCTTCTGACAAGACCAAAGTAGATGAGATGAAGTCTGGCCATTCTAGCTTCCAAGGAGCATTCCGGCTGCACGTCTTCCAGGACAGATTTGTTCATTCTTCGGGCAGCCCATGGTACTTTCAGTATTCTTTGCCAACACCACAACTCAAAAGTAGCAACTCTTCAGCATTCCTATTTCATTGTCCAGCTCTTATATGCATATGAGGTGATTGAAAATACCATGGCTTGGGGTTAGGTGCACCTTAGTGTTTAAAGAGATATCTTTGCTCTTCAGCAAAGACTTTAAACAGGTCTTTTGCAGCAGATTTTGGGAAGATTAGAAGAAGTCGTGTAAAGTGCTTAGGATTGTGTGTGCACATGTTTCATGCTTACTAATTTTGGTATTACAGGTCCACTAACCCTTATTTGAAATTTATGGGGCCAGTGTGTTGGGCATACATCATATATTACATAATAGTCTATTGTGGTTATGTCTGTGTGTCAACTTGGCTAGGCCTGGTTGAGTGGCTGGGCAGCTGGTGGTAGTTATTCCCCATGATGAGATTGGCAATCAACTCCATGGTGGGATCTACCACAAGCAGCTGAGTAGCTGCCTTTGGGATGTGGTCTCCTTCCTGTATATAAGGAGAAGCCTTGGGAATGGTCTCTGGTTTATGGCACACTTGGACCCTGAATGTAGCCGTATCATTGTTGAGCAGCCTGCCATGCTCTGCTGACCTTGGGACTTACAATGGACTTAAATTAATGGCCTGCTGTGTGGTTTGATAATATCAGGACTGTGCCTTTTTACTTGTCAACCTTGGGTTTGTCAGCCTCAGCAGCCAGCAGCTGTTTGAGTGAAGAAACACCTCTAGCTCCAGTGAGCCGGGAGCAGGAGGCAGAGCTGGACCCCAAGATTGAAGGGCTTTCACCGCCCCCCCCCCCAGAGCCTGGCACTTGAACTTGAACTTAAAGCCTCCAAATTTTAAGAATAAACTTCTGCTTGTTAAGGCCTCCCACTTGTCAGAGCAGCACTAGATAACCAGAACACAGTCACACTAGGGTCTGGGCCAGCACTCCTTGATCAAATACATTACTACTTTTTCAGTGAAATGCATAGTCAAAGGAAGTGGAATAAATAAAGGCTATGCAGACACCCAGGTCAGTTCAGGGCAGTTTCTACCACCAAATGAGTTATGAAAAAAGTTTAGTTTTCATACCCCTTAGATTTTGGAATTGAGAAGATGAGACTAAAGACTTGTATTTAAAACCCAGCATAGGAGTGAGGTCTTAGGAGCCTGATTTTCATTGTTTTAATTGTAGATCTACCTCTTATTAACTTTATGAAGTTGAGCAAGTCATTTAATCCATATGTATCTCAGTTTTTACATTTGTAAATGGGATTGTTAACAGGAACTACTTCACGGAACTATGCTAAAGTTTGAGTTAATATGTGTAATGTGCTTATACCAGCATCTACCACATAGTACTTGGTCAGTAAATATCACTTATGATTATCATTTGTGTATTACAAATGATCATTTCCTTTCTGGAATTTTCTCTGCATCTATATGTAGTCTGCACCCAACGATGTTGTAATTCCTCATTTGGTGCTCTTTAACCGGATTGCTGACAGCAGTGCCCTCAGTGATGTTTGAGCATTCAGAGTGGGGAGATGTAGATAGAAATGGAAGATCCTGTGTGAGGCGGAGTCTGGGGTCCAGATGTGGAGCCCGAGGCCTCAGTGAGGCTCACGCAACAGCAGGGTCTCAGGACAGCATGGGTTGCTCAGGCAAAGATATCTGAGCCTACTCTGGCTGGATCAGGAGAAAAGCTAACTTTGCCTGAGGTGGTCCCAGCTGCTATAAGTACACTCCCTTAGGAAGGTCGCTGGAAGGCCTGTTTGTGTCTAATGCCTTCATCCATGTCCCTGTGCTAGGCATGTGGGCAGTACTCCAAAATGACTTATGGCGTAGTGCCTAAGGCACTTGACTGCTAACCAGAAGGCTGCGGTTCAAACCCACCAGCCACTCCTCGGAAGGAAGGTTGGGCAATCCTACTTCTGTAGTGATACTGCCTCGGAAACCCAAGGAGGGGTCGCTATGAGTTGGGGCCAACTCCACGGCAAACAAAAACAACAACAATTTGGTTGGTATATGAAGACAGTCTACCGAGGCAGATAACACTTCCCATGTACACCACAAGATCTCTGGTCCCACAGGCTCCTCTTACAATGTGACACTGACACTACTTCCATTGAGAGGAATCTGGGTGGAATGGCATCTGTGATGGAAGTGACCCAAGACGACTTCTGAGGCTTGGTCATAAAAAATGGTACAACTTGCTTCACCTGGCTCCCTTGGAGTACTTGCTTTCAGAGCCCAGTGCCATATGTAGCAAGCTCCAACAAGCCTATCCATGTGAAGAGAACTCATGGACTGAACCCTTGAAGCAGTTCCAGCTCACAGCCCCAAATTAGGCTGCTGACTTGAGAGAAAACAACTTCGAGAAGATTCCTGCCCCACCTGTTAAGTCATTCCCAGGTGATCTAATCTTCCTGCCTGAGGCCTTAGATACTGTGGAACAGAGACAACCAACCCCACTATACCCTTTCAGAATTCATGAGCTGACATATGAGCTTAACAAAGTAGTGATGTTTTACACCATATGTTTGGGGTGGTTTGTTATGCGGCAGAAGAGAGCTAGAACATCTACTTAAATGGAATAGCTGTGTAAAATACAAATATGTGAGAATAAGCCATAAAGTATTTTGGAACGTATCATAGCTTAGAACTCACCTAGCTAAAATTTTCCTGTTTCCTGAGGCCAAGGAGTTTACAGTGTTGCCTGGTAAGTTAGAGCTGGGTCAAGATCCCAGCCCAGGCTCTTTCACTTCCCCTCTGCGGCATCCCTTGGAGCTAAATGGAAGAGCCTCAGACTCCTCTAACATTAAAATAATCCTAACACCTACAGAAGAGTGGCTGGCACTCTCAAAATGTTTTTCATATATTAGCTCATTCAATCTTCACAACAACCTTATAAGGTAAGTACTATTATTATCATTAATTTACTGATGAGGAAACTGAGGCACAGATTAAGTAATTCACTGAGAAATTGTTGGAGTCAGTATTAGCCCCCTGACATTCAGGCTACAGAGTCCATCCTGAGGAGGCAAAGGAAAAGCAGGTTGGGTGGCAGGGCCTTACCTGATGGGGCTGATGGGAGACTGGAGGGCTTTCCTTTCATGCTCTGGCAAAGGCTCCCAGTGGACATCCAGCTTCCAGTCCAATACTCCACGTTTCAGGTCCTCAGATGGGTAATACTGGAATGTCTTCCAGTCAATCACATCTATGACTGGAGACACCACCCGACTCCTGAAAAGAATTGTGGAATTGGATATAGGGACACAAATCATTCATTTGCTGGTGGAAGAAAGCATAATCTAGACATGCACTGCCCAAGATGACAGTGACTAGCCATATGTGACAAGGTTCCTAAGTAGCATAAACCACTTTCTTTCAACTACTGAGATAATTAAAAAACAATTGCAGCAGTACAACTGGATTCAGACAGGGACCTGGAACAAAGGATATCATTGCTGATGTCAGATGCATCTTGGATGAAAGCAGAGAACATCAGAAAGATGCTTACCTGTGTTTTATTGACTATGTAAAAGCATTTGACTGTGTGGGTCACAACAAATTATGGACAAGATTGTGAAGAATGGGAATTCCAGAATACCTCATTGTGGTCATGTAGACCCTGTACACAGATTAAGAGGCAGTCATTCAAAAAGAAATTGATTTTAAATCAAGAAAGGTATGCATCAGGATTGTATCCTTTCACCATACTTATTCAATCTGTATGTTGAGCAAATAATTCAAGAAGCTGGACTAAATGAAGAAGAGCATTGCATCAGGATTTGGGGAAAATTCAACAATCTGTGATATGCAGATGCCACAATCTTGGTTGCTGAAAGTCAAGATGACTTGAAGTACTTGCTGTTGAAGACCAAAGACTACAGTCTTCAGTATGGGTTACACCTCAACATAAAGGAAAAAATCCTCACAATTGGATAAATAAGCAGCATCATGGTAAGTGGAGAAAAGGTTAAAGTTGTCAGGGATTTCATTTTACTTGCATCCACAATCAATGCCAATGGAAGCATCAGTCAAGAAATCAATGAATCATTTGGCAATCAAATGAAATCATTGGGCAAATCTGCAGCAAAAGGCTTCTTTGAAGTGTTAAAAAGCAAAGATGTCACTTTGAGGACTACAGTGCACCTGACACAAGCCGGGGTATTTTCATTTGCCTCATTTGCATGTAAAAGCTGGACAATGAAAGAGAAAGACCGAAGAACTGATGCCTTTGAATTGTGGTGTTGGTGAAGAATACTGAATATACCATGACTGCCAGAAGAATGAACAAATCCACCTTGGAAGGATTACAGATGGAATGCTTCTTACAAGTGAGAGTGGCCAGACATTTTCTCTCGTACTTTGGGTATGTTATTGGGAGGGACCAGTCCTTGGATAAGGATATCATGTGTGGTTGAGTAGAGGGTCAGCAAAAAAAAGGGAAGATCCTCAACAAGATGGATTGGCACAGTGGCTACAATAATGGGCTCAAAACATAGCAATAATTGTGAGGATGGTGGTAGATTGGGCAATGTTTCATTCTGTTGTACATAGTGTCACTATGAGTCAGAACCAACTTGACAGCACCTAACAACTAACCCAGAGGTGCCATGGAAGAAAGTCCTGGTGATCTGCTTCTGTAAAGATTAAAGCCAAGAAAACTCCATGGAGCAATTCTATTCTGTAACATGGGGGTCCTCATGGGTCAGAACTATATTAATGGCAAAAGTTTTTTTTTTTTTTTCCCCAGCCACATGTAGCTATGTGATATTTAAAACGTGATTTGAGATGTCCTATAAGTACGAAAGGAGCTTTGTGGTGTAGTGGTTAAGGCATTTGGCTGCTAACCAAAAGGTTGGTGGTTTGAACCCACCATTTGCTCCATGGAAGAAGGATGAGGCAGTTTGCTTCGCAAAGAATTATAGCTTTTGAACCCCAATGGGCATCTCTATGAGTTGGAATTCACTCAATGGCAGTGAGTTTGGTTTTTCGGTTTATAGGTTTAGTAACCCCCCCCAAAAAAGTTGTAAAATATCTCAATAACTTCTTATATTGATTTTATGTTGAAAGGCTATTTTTTGCATGTCTTGGGTTAATTAAAGCATATTATTTAAAATTTTAAGTTTCATACGTGGTTCATGTTGTTTTTCTATTAGACAGTGCTGTTCCAGAAAAAGAATTGAGGTCCATTTCCCTCAAGAGCATGACTCTTTCTTTCTTTAACAACCTTTTTTGATAGCACCAGGAAACAGGAGGATGGAGGTCTAGCCTCAGCTCTGCCACTAATGCAGTGGAAGAAAGGCCTGGAGATCTACTTCCACTAGATCACAGCCATTGAAAACTCTAGGGACACAGTTCTACTCTGATACACATGGGGTCGCCATGAGTCAGAACCAACTCAACAGCAGGGGGCAATATTCCTGGTGTCGATGCTTGTATGTATGTGCATGTTATGTCTGCAAGCAAACCAAAGTCCTGAATCTGGATTTATTTGCTCATTTACTGCTGCTGCTGGTAATTTCACTTCAGCTTTCTTTATATATATATATATATATATATATATAT